GGGAAAGAGAAAAAAATAGCTTCTGGGGCAGCTGAGGTGCAGCCCCACCTAGTCCCTGTTTGCTTCCATTGTTTGTAGGAAACAAAATGGAGCAGCCCCTTTCCCCTCCCATTCTCCTTCCCTGATGCTTGTGAGACAGTATCAAATAAACCCACAGCGTTTCTTTGTGTAGGCAATTTGTTTATGGACATAGCACAATGTGAGCTGACTACACGCAGGAAGCCACCACAGATGGCAATTGCAGATGCATTCCCTGGCCAGAGTAGGGATTAAGTAAAGCTTTGGAGTGGCTGGGTTTGTTTTTGTTTCTTTAATTTGACACATTAGGACAGGTTCCTAAACCTTTCAGTGTTTGGAGGCAAATGTTTTCCAGCAGCTCAGAGTCTGCTCACAGCACCTGGCAGACCCATGGAGGAAGGAGTTTTCATCCAAGACACTTGAGAATTTTGCAAGGTTGGCAGAACGATGGGCAGCTGGCCCACGTGGGAGCAGAGGAACGTGATTTCGGCTGATGTCGCCAGGGCTTCTATCTCCCACATGCTCGGTGCATCCCCCTTCGTGGGCAGTTGCTGTCCAGAAAATCCTTTCCTGCAAAACTTCCTTTCTACTTCTGGGCAGCAGTACCTGTTGGTAGAATTATCCAGAGCAGGATTGAACCTGCATGTAATGATGATAGCATGACCTGCAAAAGGACTGATCCTGCCTTAGACTGCTCTGCAACACTTGTGCCCAGCTGGCCCCTCTTCTCCAGGCCACCAGGAGCAATCACATGGGCCAGCATGAAGGACCATGTGTGATCCATGACCTTCAACATTGCTGTCTCTGCAGAGGAGACCTGCTCTTCCACCTGTCCTCCTGGGAGGAATGGGGTTTTAGCCCTGCACGCCCTGAACATCCTACCCAGGATTTGCATGTGTCTTGGTCAGAAGCCAGCTGAGGCGGTGTGAGCCAGAGCATACCATTGTCAGATGACCAGGAGTGGTTTGACCTGGGCGAGGAGAGAGGACACCTCACTGGGGATCATGAGGCTACTGCTGGGTTGTGATGGGAGAGGTGGGATGCCATGTATTTTGGGAAGAACAAAAGCTGTGCGCTTATCATACTGTGATCTCTGGCTCCACTGTCTCACATTTAACAGTCATGTGAATTACTTTAAAAGTAAAAAGTTTGTTTCTTAGCTTCCCTCCTTTTTTTTCTTTTCTCATGTGCTGATATTTCTGAAGCATCAAGGCACTGTTTTTCCTACCAGCCCTTGCTTGTGTTTCGGGAGGGGTTTGGCAGCCACCACAGGGATTTTCCAACACTTGGACTCTTTTCAAAGGCTTATTTTCCATCACCCTTGTTTATCCATTTCCTTCATTTTTTGCTCAGAGTACCATTAAGATTCCTGATATAGTTCCTAAAGCAGAGATTTTTAGCTGTTGGTTTGCTATCAGTCAGAAACTTGGAGACATGACCAGTGACTGCTTTTCAGTGTAAAGCCAGGATTGCACCAAATATCTTCTTTTCTGATTAGGAGCACAGAGGATCATCCCGTTATGGTGAGCAGCTTAGGGAGGGTTGGTGCAGCAGGCAGGTGGCCAATGGGTTGGAACTGCTGCTTTTGAGGAAGCGCATGAGTTGATCTTCCCAGGGCTTTCAGCAATATTAAAGAAAATAGTATTTATTACACAATTACACAATAATTTCAAAGAACTCCTTTATATTTGAGCTAACTGCACTGGAAACCATTTGCAGTTTCTTTCTTCTCTGTCATCTCAAGCAGTTTACATGAAAACCCTGGTGTAGACATCTGAAAGGTCTCATCTACCAGGACACACTTTAGTGCTAAAAAAAGGGTGCCCCATTGTTTTCAAGCATCTGTTTTTACCTTAAATAATACATTTATTTATTTATTCATTCTGCAGATTCCTGAAACAAAACAACCTCCAGTCCCCAAGATCGACTCTCCAGAGGCATATTATGAAGAGGCCGAGCCATACGATGTCTCTGTAAATGGTATAACACAGCTCACTTTCTGGGGGGTTTCATGCGGGAGATGAAGGACTTGAGGTTTATGAGAACAAGTAAATGAAAGTGCGGACATTTCTTACAGCTTGTGAGAAAATTTTGTTTTCTGATGCTGGTCACATGTAATATTACAGATTTAATGCTAGCTGGAAAAAAAAGACTATTGAATTACTCAAATTTTTATGTTTCCTGTAGAAATAAGTAGTATGCTTGGATTAATATAACATCACTGTAAAATTTATAAACCATTGTGGGTTCTCTTTGTCTTGATGGTTTTCTGGAAGATATGTTGTAGCCAAATGCAAGTTTCTGTTCAGGAGTGAGTGGTGAAGCTGTGGTGGCTTGCATTCATGTCCTAGTGCTCTAATCGGCCCTTTGGGGCTCAAAATCTATGACTCTGTTGGTCTGTTAGACATGATAACTGTTTTTAATAATTGGCTATTTATTCAGCTCTGTCTCTTGTGGCAGTTTAACCATCTGGAAACTTGATTAAAAAGCCACACTTCATTCAAGGGGACAGCGTCTGGATTCCCCCTGCACACGCTTGCATGCCACCTGGTTCAGCGCCTCCCAGCAATGTCCCCAGCAGTGCCACCAATACCTGTCACCCGTGGGCTCCCCACCCCTTCGGGAGGAGACTGCTGCAGGAGGCTGAGCTTCCACGTTCTTGCTTTTTAAGATATATTCCTGCATCCTTCTTATGGTGAACACCCTTCAAGAGAGATTATTTCCCTCTGATCTGATAGGAGAGCTGATCTTGTCATCGCTTTATAATCCATTTAAGCCCAAATGAATCATAGTATCATAGAGACAGATTATACAGATGATATTGCTCTGCTGCAGGAGATCTCTGCTCATCAGCCTTCGCTGCAGCAGAGTGGGGCGCAGTGTGGGTCACTGTTCTCACCAAGGCCTAGGAGTTACAGTGCTAAACAAAGAAGGGAGACATAGAAAGATCTTTGTTTCCCTGAACCATCCTGTTTTGGCTGCAACCATGTTACAGTGGTGAACAGGAATATCTCACTCAGCTTGGGTGAGAAAAGGCACAGGCTCATCACAGCCAGGGTGAAACATGGCATTTGGTGCAGAGGAGAGGCCACCCCAGCTCTGCCACCTGTAGTTAGGTGCCAGCTTGGTTTTGCCAAAAAGCTCTGTGTTGTTTGGCTGAGGGCAGAGCTGTGAGGGTGGGGTGCATAGGGGTGAAGCACTCCTGCAGCCTTGTCCCTGCAGGGGGGTTCCAGTTGCCTGCAGTGTAAGATAAATGGACATTTTTTTCCCTGCTGCACACTGGGAAAGAGGATAATGGGCTAAGAGCTACAGCATGTAAATACATACACTGGATTTAGCTGGAGTATGGCCATGGATCCATGTGCTGGGAAACCCAGGTTATGTTATCCAGGCAGCTCCATAAACTCTGTGCTGCGAGCCTTGGCTGGCAGGAGTGATAAGCACACACCAAGCTTAAACCTCCGCTTTTCCTTGGTAACCTGCAGCTGAAAGATGCAAATACACCCACCACCCACTGAAATCCAGCCTAAGGAAGTGAGAGATCAGAGCCCTGCAAACATTGTCAAAAAAAGAGAGGAAAAAGCCCATAAAATGAGAGCATTCTCAAAATAGGGCAGTTTGTGACTGCTACAAAGAGCAGTTTGGGTGTTTTACTGAGCAGTATCACAGCCATGAGCGGAGATAGGAGCTGGTGAAAGTGAGCAGAGATGGGATGTGCAAGTCCAGGCAGTCCCTCGCTGCAAAGGTCTGTGGTGCTTTTGCTTCCTCTCACTGCTCAACCAAAAAGTCCCCTCTACAGGTCCCAGCAGGTCCCTTCTTCTACACAAACCACCTGGTGTGGTACAATGCTGATGGCTTTTAAGGTGTTTGTGTGAGAAGGAAAGCAGCATTGTGTTGCTGAGAATCTCTGTGCTTTTTGGCAGCCTCATGTTTGAGGTGATGCCCTGGAGTGAGTGGGAAGGAGGAGCAGGGAGGGATGTGGAGCAGCAGGTATGAGGCAGGAGGAGGCTGCGGGGGTCTGGAAAGGGTAAAGCATAGTATGCTTTGTGGAAGGGATGTCAGGCAGTGATGCTGGGAAACTCCTGGTGCCCTGGTTTGTCTCAAGAGATTAGGCTCCAAATCCCACAGCACATGGAGCAAACTTTCAGGTCTCAGTCATGCATGTTGGTTGAACAAGTACAAAACTGGGGTCTCCATCCCCTCTTCCCCATCTTGCTTATCAGATGGCAACAGTACCCTGTAGCTGTCCAAGGTGGTGTGATGCTCATTGCTAGCAACTGCCTTGAGACCTTAGTGCAACTGGTGTTCCTAAAGAGCTGTCTGGATGTGCATGGGTTGGCCCTGGCCAAATATGCTAAAACATGACTGCAGCAACCCCTTGAGCCCTCTGTGCTCACCCTCCTCTCCCCCCAAGCTGGATAGGGAAGGGGACAGTGGTTCAGGGAGCGGCTGCTGGTGTTTCTGACAGAATTACAGCGCGAGTGTTGGAGGACACCCACACGTTCCCAAACAAATGGGCGTAGTGAAATCAAACAAAAATAGGAACATCACTAAAATTAGTGGGTGTGCTGCCAAGAAAAAAAGGACATCAAAGCAAGCCTCTGGATGGGCTGAGGAGATAGAGGATTCGTGCAGCATCGGAGGTGGGAATGCGAGGCACTGTACGAAACCGTGGGTGAATTAATTAAAATGAAGCAGGCGGGCGAGTCCGCTGGGTCTGGGGTCCCTCTTTCATCAGCCAGATTCCCACCCCTCCGCTGGGGACGCCTCTGCCTTTCATTTTACAGCTCTGGCTTCCCTTTCCTCCTGGGCTGAAATGTGTTAAAGCGTTATCTTCCTCGTCCTCCGCTGCATTTGCATAATTGAAGGGTGTGATAAGAAACAGAGGGAAAATGCAAGGGGCAACGTGACTGCCAACTGAGCAATAATTATTCTGGCTGAAACGGCTCATCTGCCCTGCCTGATTGTAATTAAGAAGACGATGACTCTTTTTTAAAGGGAATTGCCTTGTTCGAGGGGAAGGGTTGAAAACGTTGTCCTTGTTTGAAGTCTCACCTTATGGCACAGGGATGGGGCAGCCTCACAGCTGAGGGGAGATCATGGGGCTGAGCTGGACTTGTCTGCATTTGCTTATCTGTGGCTTTCTCTCTTTGTCTCCCTTTCTCTTTCCTTTTGACTGCTCAGGTCTTTTTGGTAGGCTTGCTGCAGCTGGACCCAGGCCAGGGTTGCAGGTTACTGAGGGCGTTATTTATGCCACAATAACGATGGGTATGGCATCCTTTCCAAACCTGAAGTGCCTTTTAAAAAACAAACAAACAAACCAAAACAAAACAAAACACAAAACTGGGTTTTAGCAAAGATGATCAGGTACCTCCCCCTGGCATGACCCATTTCATGCATGGAGGGTAACTACCTCTCCCCTCTCTCTGCCCATGCTGGGTATATGCAAGGCAACATTTTTGGTGCCTTTCACCATGCTCAATATGACAATGAAGAGAACTTCACTAGCCTTTATTCCCTTGGTTCTGGAGACTGATGTGGAGCTGATGTGTGGTAACGCTGGCTGTGTTGACAGGTTCAGCACATGTTGTGGGTGCTCTGCTTGAGCAGAGGAGGCTCTGGTGTATGGAATGGTTAGAGCTTCCTGTGCCATGGTATTGATTTAGCTCCCTGGGAAGACAAACAGGAAAGCAGAGGTGGCTCTAGATGAGGACATCCCAGAGCATGGCTGCCACTGGTGTCACCTCAATGAGAGGATAAAACTGTGCTCTTAGTTGAAACTGCCAGTAGGTGGAATTGGAGACCGTGTACTGAAGTGCTTGAGGTGTATGGCTTGGGATTGAGTGAGCTCTAGTAGTGACGACAGTGTTGTCTCACCTCAGGGTTTGTCCCAGGTTGCCAACTACACAGCCTGGAAAATGCCTTTCCATCATGAGGCTGTTGCAGTGTCACTGGGCCAGCAATGTCTGCAGCTCTTCACATAGAGAAGAACTCGTCTCATGGGGCACTTGTGCTTGATGCGCAAAATAGCAGCCAGGGCTCCTGCTGAGAGCATGGAAGTGTTATTCCCCCAGGAGAAAGGTGGCAGCCTGAGAGACAATGCCTAGGTGAGGGGCACCAGAGACACCCAAAAGGTGCAAGAGGGGCAGCTAGTGATAGCCCCATGTTGGTAAGGAGGGAGATTCAGAAAATAAGGCTTGCTTAGACATCCTTGCTGCTGCATAAGAAAGGGTTCCTAGTGGTGCAGAGGTTCAGCTTCTTGGTATTTCTAGGGATAAGAAACCTCAGCACCTTTACTCTATCTGAATTTCTGGCCAGGGTGCCTGTGGATGAGGTCTGCATAGTGATAATGCATTGCAGGATAATGTTTTCCCCTAAAAAATGGACAGTCCAATACATTGAGGGTATGGAGTTGGTGAGCCAATAGTTGTCTGTTAGCACTGTTGAGAGACTTTGAAAGGGAGTATTTGCTTTTTAATAAGTTTGTTTAATTGGCACAGCTTTGATCACTTGAGGGATTTCATAGATTGAGATTTCACCAGAGGAGACTGGGGGTGAGGCTGCAGCTTTGTTACTGCATCTCAGTTCCTTTTATTTTAAGAACAAATAGACCCAACTTAAGAAATGTTCTTCAGTGAAGCTCCTAATGCTTCCCCCCCACCTTTTCTGGCTGCATTTCCTCTCTTTATTTCGCACTAATCCAATAATGTTACTTTTATGTAAGATATTATGATTTTATGAGAATCAAAATTAGGTTAAATTCTGATGAGAGAAACTCAATGGTATTCCTCCATGCTGTTTGGTAGGACAATAATGCAAAACCCTACACCAGTGCTGCCCAAATCTTACCATCTTATGCAAGCCTGCTTTGCGAATAAGAGCCATCCTGTAAACACCAGCAGAGCATTGCAAATTCCCCTGCAGTCAGTGGGAACATTTTAATTACTTCTGATGAATGTGGTACCGATGACCAGCTGTTCCTATCAGCTGAAAACTCCAGTAACCTACAATACATAAGAGCTGGCTATTGAAAATCTCAACTCATCCTAACAAAGTAGCAATCCATTTAAGAATGAACATGAAAAATATGATTACTGTTATTTACAGCTGTCATTTATGACTAATTTTTGCTGATGCAACTGTGCATTTCTTCAAAGCCCCTTGCTGTCCCTTAGATGCTGAGTAGAGAGAGAGACCTGTTAGCCCAGAGAGGGGAAGTGGAATGACATCTCAAATACAGTAGATCATTGCTTGCTGCATGGCCTTGCAAATACCATTTTTACTTCCAACATTCAGAGTACAAGGGCTGGTTGTAGCTTGCTGTTGCCTTGAAAACTGTGAGTGTTTGGCTTGAAGTGGAAAGTAGAAAATGCATTTCTGGGGAGGGAAATCAGCAAACATCAGAAAATGTCTAAGGGAATGTTCTCAAGTTTGTGGTCAACTGAGAAGTGTCTTTTGAGTGTTTGCTGACTGAGACTATTAGGTACAAAACATTGCAAAGAGATTAATATTGGGCTAGAAAGAAAAAAGGATCTGTGAGGGTTATTTTCCTGTTGACTATACACCCATAGGAGAGCCTCAAAAGACACATCCCTATGCTGGAAGCTTTTGCATGTGTGAGCATGGCTGAGGCGAGCAATAGGCCCAGAGTTGTCCTAGGAATGTATTTAATGATAGAGCTTTGCTTTTGTTATAGAAGATGGTGAAGCTGTTAGTAGCTCCTATGAATCTTACGATGAAGAAGAGAGCAGCAAAGGCAAGTCAGCAACCCACCAGTGGCCATCCACGGAAGCCACCATTGAGCTGATGAAGGACGCCCGCATCTGTGCATTCCTGTGGAGAAAGAAGTGGCTGGGACAGTGGGCAAAGCAGCTGTGTGTTATCAAGGACACCAGGTTACTGGTGGGTAGATCCTCCCAGAAGAATCTATTTTCATGAGCTAGGGAGGGAAGTGGCACCTCAGACCACATTAAGTAGCTGGCAAAACAAATACCTCTAGAAGTAATTGCTTCAAAAAATATGGTCCAGGGATTTGGAGATCTCATTCCATTTTCAGAGGGGACATGGACATGGGGCTGCTGAGGGGGACACAAGGGCAAATCTGCAGCCAAACTCTCAAAATGCCTAGAGATAGGGCTTGGGGAAATTTTCAGAGGTGGTTAAGCAGAAGGGATATTTAGTCCCCTGACTAACCACATACTTGACCCTCTAGCAGTATCTGTGAGAATATTTCAGACTATATATGCATATACATAGATGTATGTATGTCTCTATGCAGACATGTCCTGTGCATAGTCTCTGTGGACATTGCAGCCTTGTAGGACCTATAGGACCTTCTTGTGTTCAGTGCACTCAAGGTGTGTGGTTGCACTGAGACACTTCTAGGGTTGAGTTCATGCCAGCAAGCAAGTGGGATGGCTTCTCCTCAGCCTTTTACCTGCCTTCCCATCTTCCTTCCCCAGTGCTACAAGAGCTCCAAAGACCACAGCCCTCAGCTCGACGTGAATTTGCTGGGCTGCACTGTCATTCACAAGGAAAAGCAAGTGAGGAAGAAAGAGCACAAGCTGAAGATCATCCCTATGAATGCAGATGTCATCGTGCTGGGGCTGCAGAGTAAAGACCAGGCAGAGCAATGGCTCAGGGTCAGTGGTGCCTATGGGTCTTGCCACGCTGGCACTCCCAGGCTTCTACTCTGACTTTGCTGGGAGACCATATCTTATCTCAGTCCTGTCCTTGCACGCTCTGGTTCCCTTCCTCACTACAAGCCCATATACAAACACCACTGCATTTTCATGTCCTGGCACAGCTTCTTCCTGCAGCTGCCTGATGCCTTCCATGCACAGGAGGCCGTGGAGAGACCTCTAAGCCTAGCTGCTGCAGCAGGAGGGATGTCTAGGGTGGGTGCCCAGCATGAATTGGCTGAGGATGGAGGAGATGTTGCCCTTTCCCTGACATGGCAGTAGAAGAATGAGCTTTTACAAAACTCAAGGTGGCAGCAAGGCTGCAAGTGGCCAGGGCTGCCTTTGCTGGCAGCTTCTCCCTGGCTGACCTGGGCCTGGCAGTTTCTTCTGGGAAACGGCACCAAGCTGTGCCAAGGGAGGTTCAGGTTAGAGATAAGGAGGAAGTTCTTTACTGAGAGGGTTGTCAGAGGCTGGAACAGGCTGCCCAGGGAGGTGGTGGAGTCACCATCCCTGGATGTATTTAAAGAGCGGGTAGACAAGGTACTTAGGGATATGGTTTAGTGGGTAGACAGGAGCGGTTGGACGTGATGATCTCGGAGGTCTTTTCCAACCGAGCGATTCTGTGATTCTGTGATTCTGGCTGCCCACTGCAACACCAGGAAGGTCCCTAGGGTCATGGGGAATGTAAACTGTGGGTAAACTCCCAGGCTGCTGCAGTTTTGCTGTAGAGAAGAAGCATTGATCCCATTACTGCAGCTCTCTCACAGGCTATGGTTTGCCCTCTACACAGGTCATCCAGGAGACCAGTGGTCTGCTGTGCGAAGGAGGTGGTGAAGGCAACCAGTACATCCCAGATTCACAGCGTCTCAGTTACCCAAAGGTACACCTTGTCTCTACAGAGAGAACTAGCGTTTAGGCTTTTCCACGCTGTTCCTTTAATAAATAATAGTTGTTTGTGCAGTAATTTTGTCTGAGCAAAGGTTGATAGGAGTGTAAGCAGATCCCTGTTCTGCTGAAAATTTTACTTTGCAATCTTAATTTTGTTGCCATGTCTTTCCCTCAAAACTGAGTCAGCATTGGGCTCCCCTCCATAGAGGGGAGCAGCACTATCTTATCCAACAGGGCACTTGTGCTCACCAAGAGCTTTGGAAGAGACGTAGACCCTTGGATGCCAGGGCTTGGACCAGTCTCTAGTCCAGGTTTAGGTGACGCTCTCCTGGAGGCGGCTTATGGGAGTTTGTGGAGAACAATAGGAGAAGAAAGAGAACTTCCTAAGTCTCTGTTGCACACCCAAAGTGGACCTGTTTGGGCACCTGGCCTGTTCCTCTGCCCATGCGCTCCTATGGGGACTGGCAAATGTCCCCACCAGCCAGGCTGCAGGGCTGGAGGCCACAGAGTGGCACCAGTGGTGCCACCGCATCACCTCAGAGGTGAGCCCAGCCTGGGTAGTTTGTGTGCTGGATCTGCCTATGCTGGGCCCAGAAACAATGTTGAGGACATGGGTAGGGGATGTCTGTGTGAAAGCATCTGCTATGGAAAGGGTGAGACCCTGTATTTTTGGAGGGGGGGAGAAAGGCACTTGTGGCATGTGTTGACTGCAGGAAGGGGTCCTGTGCAGCTGTGGAGCTTGTGTCTGGTGCTTCTTGACAGGTGGAGATATCTGAAAGGTACTCTGCAGCCTCCGAGAGCGGGAGCAGCACGGACGGCCACCCAGAGACAGCCGAGACGAAAGATGGTAAAACCTTACCCTGGGAATGACAGGGAAACCGGGTCATCGGCTCTGCACGTGGCGAGGGTTTCTGTAGCTTCTCTTGCCACTGCTGCCTCAAACTGACCTGATGCGGGGTGAAAGCTGCCTGCGAATTTGATTGCAGTGCTTTTTTCCACAGCGAAGTGACAGGTGGATGTTGGGATTTCTCAGCAGTTACAGAGTTAGGATAGGGCTTGAGAAACCTGGGTGTGATACCTGCCCTACCACAGAGATCCTGCATGATTCTGGGCAAGTCACTTTGGGACAGTTTGAGATAAACGCAACCTAAGTGACTTTCCTCAGAGATGTCTGCAGAGAAACTTGGAGTCCCTGTGTGTGAAATGCTAAGCTGTCCCCAATGGGAGAGGTACACCTTCACACTAAGCTGTATCCACCATCTATAAGATGGGGCAGGTGAGTACATTAAAAGAGGAGATGCTCTGTTAGAAGGATGGTGGGACCCATCTATATATCAGAGAGAGAGAAAGAGAAATCCATGCTAAGGACTCACTGGAGTCACTCAACAGATGGAGATCAGCTGCTGAGTCCCTCTATGCTAGGACTTCATCATTTTGTTATGAAAGTGGGAAGGAAAATCTGGACTAAAAATATCCGACTTGATTTCTTACCAGCATTACCTCATGACAGCACAGCCGTATTCACTCACTGACTGATGTGCTCTGTAGGAAAATGCTTTGGGCATAAGCTTTCCCACTTCCCACCTTGAGCCTCCCTTTTTAAAAGGAGAAGACTTGAATGCAGTATATATTTATGGGTAATGGTTTTTAATTCAGTTCTTTGTAGTGTAAGAAGTAAAGGGAGGTTGGTACCTGCCCAGCAAGACCTGTGCAAACAGCCTCCCCACAGCTCCTGCAGCGACTGGTGGTTGGTCAGAGCTAACTCAAGCTATAGATTAAGCGTCTTTGGCAAATCACTTGACTGAGATTACTGGTGCCATCTTGCTAATCATCTCCCTGGCTGTGAGTTGGGAGAGCCATGCAGATGTCTTTTTCTTTTCTGGTAGTTAAGAAGAAGGGCACAACTGGCCTGAAACTGAGCAACCTGATGAACCTCGGGAGGAAAAAATCCAGCTCCCTGGATAGCCCAGAGCGATCCTTGGAGACTTCAAGTAAGTGACAGCATGAGCCCCTCTGCAGGGACTTGTCTCAGGGCTGGTTCTAAGGGTGCAGGGCAGGATGAGCACAACACATCATCCTCCTCAAATGCACATGTGCTAGGCTGTCTTGCGCGGGGAGGCAGAGGCCACCGTCTGCTCAGTCCATACCAGTACATCCATGGAGACTGAGGTACCTGTTAAACATTAAGGTGACTGTGTGGCTTACAAGGGCAGGTAATCACTCACAGGGTAACCCAAGAGGAAGAGCAGGTAACACCAGACATGCACACAGAGGGCATCTGTGCTGCTTTTCCTTGGGTATCAGCCCGGAGTGTGGGAGTCAGTATGGAGAGGGTTGTGTGGGTCAGCTGGTATTCACCGTCTGAGACCAACTTTGTCCAGCCATCTGCAGCCAACTTGCTGCTCCAAACCTAACCTGAACTTCAAGGGTCTCATTTTGAACAGATTTTTACCCTTTTCACCCAGTTTTGTATGGATAGGACAGCTTGTCTTTGTGCTTTTGCTCCTTGTTATCACCTATGGCTTTGTGTTGTGTGGTGATCTCAAACTTACTCATCAGACATCCTCATGCACACAAATGATTCCCTCTCCTCATGGGGTAGAAAATGTGCCTAAGTAACCTGTGCTTGCTTGCAGGTTACCTGAATGTCCTAGTGAACAGCCAGTGGAAATCCCGTTGGTGTCAGATAAAAGACGGTCACCTCCATTTCTACCAGGACAAGAACCGAAGTAAACTGGCTCAGCAGCCCCTGAGTTTGGCAGGTTGTGAAATTATCCCAGAGCCAAGCCCTGATCACCTCTACTCCTTCCGCATCCTGCACAACGGGGAAGAACGGGTCATTCTGGAGGTAGGGTGTAGATTTCCAAGCAAGCTCTGCTTTAAGTCACCAGCATAGGTGTCTTGGTAGGCCTAAATGCTGGTGAGGTCTTCCAGAGGAACCCTTAGTCAAGCGAAACAGACCCTGAAGTGTGGGACTTTGGTTCATCTCCTGTGGTCACATAGAAGGTGACTGTGCCTGATGCTGGCGACTCCAGAGGACCATTCAGCCTTCATCTTAGGCACTCATCTTAGGATGGGATGAAGGGTCCTCTGGAGGTGCCCATCTCTCTCCACTAACTGTAGGATAACCTTGGATGATCAAGTTATATGGGATGCATTCCAGATGGTTAATGTTAGATGAGAGGAATGCCACTTCAGAGATTTAAGTCTGTGGTTAGGAGAAACAGAGAGCTTCTTCTGAAAAGAGATTCCCAAAGCAGTCATGCATCCCAAGTAAAGCAATCACAGGTCTGCTCCTGAAAGTGCAAGTGAATTCATCTCCATCTGTTACTTTCCTTTGCCTGCATCCAGGACTGTTTATCTCTAATCTTAGTTCTCTCTGATGACAGCGTGATTATAGTAGGAGGTGGACAATGTGAAGTGATTTCCTGTATTTTTCCATTGGGTGGAATATTTATAGCTGAACAACTGACTTTGAGGGCCTGCCATGAAGTTTGAAGGTGTTTTTGTTTAGCTTGTGATTCAGGGTATGTCTGTGTCGAAGAAATTTTGCCTAATTACAGATGTGAAGAAGAGGTGCTGGGAAAATTTATGTTTTGTGAATGGAAGAATCTATATTTTGTTGGGATGTCAGACTCAATGTACAGACTGGCTGGCAGGCTTCCCAGGGACTGAAGTCTCTGCTAAATAAAACAGATTGAAAGCTTAAAATACACTTTCCACTTTGGGATTCACTTGCCCTGAATTTTACTTTGTGCTTACGGCTCTAACTCCTCAAATCAAAGCAAAAGATTGCTGCACCAGCGCACCTCTCGCTTCAGGTAGAAGTCCCCACTACTGGCAAGTACAAGTGGCTGTTTGCTAGAGCTGACTTCAAGGCATCACATTTAACTCTTCATTTTGCAAAATGCCAGACTGTCCACTGCAGCCAGGACTTTATACTGACCGTGTTAAAGTGAGGGGCTCTCTTTGCTGTTTTCTGATCCTAGTTTAAGCTCTCCTCTGCCCCTGCAAACAGCCCTGGAAGGGGTTTTGGCTCTGGCGTAAGGACCTAGCAGGCTCCCTGGTGTGCTGCGGTCTCCTTGCTGTCTGTTTTTGGCAATCCCATTGCTGCGCTCTGCTGGTGCAAAATAAAATCAGCACACTTTCCTCGCTAATACCAGCTCCCTGCCAGCATCTCCAGCCCCAGAGACTTTTCTTACTCTTGTAGGCAGCTGAGTTGATCATCACTGAGAGGAAAATGCAGACTGACAAGGAATTTTAGGAAGGAGTTAAGCAGAGAGCTGCATTCATGTAGCTTCTAAATTTACAAATCAGTCCATACGCAGAGCAGTGCTTCTTTCAATGAGGTCTCATATTTAATATAAATACCTGGCCATTCATAGTTCCACTCGCAAGCCCAGAGGACTGCCAACATATTTCCCCATCCAAGGCTAAGACAGAATTAGCACTAATGGCATAAACTGTCAGCATTAGCCCTGGGAGTGCAAAGAAATTGTTATCACAACCTGTGCTATCTTTCTGATCTCCTTGTTAGGCGAAGACCTCAGAAGAAATGGGCCACTGGCTGGGCCTCCTCTTGTCAGAGTCAGGTTCAAAAACAGACCCGGAGGAATTTACCTACGATTATGTGGATGCTGACCGGGTTTCCTGCATTGTGAGCGCTGCAAAGAACTCTTTCTTGTACGTCAGCCATAATGTACGGGGCTGCAGGGACGGGCAAGGGGGAAGCAAGCTGGACGGGGCTCCCTCTGCTTGCGGGAGGTTGGCTGCCATGGGAATAGGTGGTAAATTCACAGCTGCAGCTCAGTCGCTTTCTTTGGAAGCTCAGTCTGGGGCAGAAGAGCACTTGTCATTGTCCCACCATGATGTGCTCAATGTGAGCTGCAGCTTGCCATGGGGAAAGGAAGGAGCCGAGGGGAAATGTAGCCCCACTCAGTTGTGCGCTGCTTAATGGGCACCGGGAGCAGTGATCACATCACTGCACGGCTCTGCCTTCACACCTCTTGCATCTGCTGCATGGCCCTGCCCAAACCCCAGGACTGCTGTGTTCAGATGCCCCAAAATTATGATCCGTCCCTTATGACGGGATGTCCCGCTGCCTGTTCACAGCTTAATGCAGAGAAAGTACTCGGAGCCCAACGCCTACATCGACAACCTGCCCAGGGGCAAGGCGCAGCAGGAGGAGCTGTACGATGATGTGGATCTGCCAGACCTGCCTGTGGTAAGATGCCCAGCGCTGCAGGCAGCTGCCTCCTGCAGTGAGCTCTGCAGAGACCATGGGCAAACAGCTGGCCTGGGGGAGCCTCCAGCAGGGAAGGGAGAGGTTTTTTTCCAACAGGGGTTAAGGGGGTCCCAGCCCCTGGGGATGTCCCAGCTTTTGCAATGGAGCAGAAGCAGGTGTTGGAGAAGAGTTGCTAAGGAGTGGGAGAGAGGTTTCCAGCAAGGTGCTGTAGGGATCCTCAGGCAGCTGGGCTAAAATCCCCCAGTTTCTACCAGGAAACAGCATAGATTATTTGACAATAGTGGACTGTTTAGAGCCCAGACTATCAAAACTCCTTTTGATGCCTGTGAGAGCAAGTCCTGTGTGTAAGGACAAGAAAGATGGGCCATGCAGAGGATGGGGCTGTTATTCTGGGAAAGGCAGAGTACCTGGCAGGAGCTGCCAGATGTACAAGAGTGTTAGATCCTTACATGGGGTTGCTGCTACCACTGGAAAGACCTATTGAAGGAGAGCAGGAGGGGGCCTTTCCTTCAGTACACCAAAAGCCTCTGTAGGGAATGACTATGGGAATGGGGTTTTAGATCCTCTAAGATTTATGGAAAATAATCCAGATTGCCCAAGATGCTGCAGCTCTGCAGCGAGACATTTCCTGTACTTCTGGCTGCAGCAGATGGTCCCTTTTCAGGGAGCATTCTCCTTTTTTGCAGGAAGAAGCACCTAGGAGTGAGAGCAAATCAGAGGGAGACCAAGACAGAGTGTACCTGGATCTCACCCCAGTGAAGTCCTTCCTACACTGTGCTGGCAAGAAGTCGTGCGAGCATTCACCCCTCAGCTCACCGCCTTTAGAAAGGGCTGCCAACAAGACTACAGCAGAGAGCACAGCTGAGACAGCCCCTGTGGCTAAGGAAGCTGAGCCCAGTAGTAAGGCAATGGAGACCTCAGAGCAGGTACTGTCCTGAACTGTGGTGTGGGGCCAGGTTTAATCAACCACCCAGTTCCCCCACCACATCACCCCACTTCATTTTTCCCCCATAGAAACACCCAGAGAAGCCAGAGCCTGACGAGGCACTGCCACGGACGCCCGCTGTCAAGATCCAGGCACAGCAGCAGAATATCGCCTTCCCCCAGCCAGCCCCCGAGCTGCTGGCAGGCACGGCGACAGTGGGCAGTCCCCAGCCACCAGCAGGCACGGTGACAGCCGGCAGTCCCCAGCCGCCGGCAGGCATAGTGACAGCTGGCAGTCCCCAGCTGGCACCCGCGCACCGGCCCAAGATGCCACTGCCGAGTGAGTGGGCTGCTCATGGGGCCAGTGGGTCCCTGCGGCAGAAGGGGTTCAGGGTTTGGGAGGTGGTGCTCTAGGCTTGCCACTGCTATTACAGTACCTTTGCAGTGCCCAAGGGGCTGATGAGTCTCTTGATTACTTTCCAGACCCTCGTTCGTTTTGTTTCCAAGCACCTGGAAAAGTTTTTCCCTCCTCATTTTCCCCTGGCTGAGCTTGTTTTGGTGGGTTGTATTTCCAGCTGCAGCAGTGGAAACCAAGCTGGGCAAAAACAGGACAGAGGCGGAGGTGAAGAGGTTCACAGAGGAGAAGGAGCGGCTGGAGAAGGAGAAAGATGAAATCCGGGCTCAGCTCACCCAACTGCGCAAGGAGAGGCGCGAGCTGAAGGAAATGCTCATGGGCAGCACAGGTAGAGAAGGGCAAGGGCTGATGTGTGGAAATGACCAAGGTGGAACCATGGAGAGGGAGTGGGTAATGAACCTGGAGGCCTGGGATGTAGCCCAAATGGCACTAGAGCCTGCTCTGTCACAGTCCCTCTTGGGGCAAAATATAAGGAAAATGTACAGGGAAAAATGTAACGGTACAGGTAAAGTGTACTCTGGTCCTCATTTCCTCTCCCAGTTCCAAGTCAGCATCAAGTTACCTTTCCCTTCACAGACAAGAGCCTGGAGCAGAGGCTAAAGGGGATAGAAGAAGAGTGCAAAAGGAAGGAGGGCCGGAGGGTGGACTTGGAGCTAAGCCTCGTGGAGGTGAAGGAGAACCTGAAGAAGGCAGAGTCTGGTCCTGTGACACTGGGCACTGCAGTGGACACCACACACCTGGAGAACGCAGCCCCCCGGGTATGTGGGGGGGACCCCCAGTCTGCACTGTGGCCTCCCAGCAGCTGGGTGGTCACACCATCTCAGTCCACTTGAGAATTTATTATTATTATTATTATTTTAATATTTATAGTTTATATTTCCATGTTATCTAAATGTTATTATATGTACTAAAAATAAAATAATAATCATATAATGAGGTAACAGCAGTGCTGGGGAGGTGAAAAGGGGCTGGAGCTCAGGAGAGAGGCTGTATTTCCCTATGGGATCTTGACCCTCTGGGGCTAAGCAGATTGGACCCAGCTCCTGCACTCAGCTAAGCCAAGGGGTGTTGTTTAGTGGGGGACAGATTCAGGCATCTGAGTTCCTTCTTGGGAACTTGGTTCCTAGGAAACAGAGGTCACCACATGAGCCCTTCTCTGTACCTCTGCTTGAGTCCTCCACACCCAAACACACCATGCATACATCCTGGGGATATTTTGAAATTGGCATGTCACTGAAAAAAATGTGCCTCGGTGCAAGTGGGATGTGACTGTGATGAGGAAAGGGTGGGGAAAGGTAGCAATCCCTCTCAGTAGTCTGAAGTCATCGCCATTTCTATTATTTTTATTGTAGATCCAGGCAAAAAATGCCAGTCCAGCAAGCAGCGCAGAGAACTCACCAGTCAATTCAGCAACAGCTTTGAAAAACCGGCCTTTATCCGTCATGGTGACAGGGAAAGGAACAGTTCTACAGAAGGCTAAGGTAATGTGTCAATTGGTACAGGAGACATCCATCTGGGACAGCCACTGCCTTTCTCTCCTGGCAGTGAGGCAGAGTGGCTGTGGTGGGATGGTGTTGGAGGGGGTCTCACATCTGGGAAGTGCCCCTGGGAGCAGACCAGCCTGGTTTTCCTCTGCTCTTTTCACCTGGGCTTGCCCTGGCTGAAATTTAAATGAATAAATGTGGCTATTGCTTATAACCCAGACATCCCTGACCCACCCTGTGGCCAAAAACACTCAGGTAGCAGATGATCGGGTTAATCCTGTGCACAGTATGGCTACTGTGGCTTTGCCAGATTTGCCTTTTGACTAATTTGCCTTTATTCCTTGGCAGGAATGGGAGAAGAAGGGAGCTAGTTAGAACCACGTTTTTCAGAGATGGACTAAAGACTGGGATTGCCCATGCATGGCCAAGGGGATTCAACCATCTGTAGGTGGAGGTTGGACATGCAAGACAACCATACGCCAAGCGTCTCCTCCACGTCGCGCCAACTGCTCAGCCGCAGCAATGGAGTCAACAGCTGCTGATATAAATTATCCCAAATGATCTTGCTCTTTCCAGACAGGTCCCAATCACGTAGCTAAAACAATAACAACCAGTGGCAATCCTTGCATCAAGTTCCTAACCCAGTTGATGTAAACACGAATGTTACTGTACATAGGGGTGTTTTGTGTATTTCTACTCTGAAGGTTTATCAACGAGTTACTAAAGTTTCTGTATTAGTGGCAGTAGTGGGTTCAGAAGGGGCCCCCACTATTCTTTATTCCCTGGTGGTTTTCAGCATGTCATGGCAAATTGCAGTCAACTAAAGTCTCACCTGTCTTGCTGCCAGTCATCACTCAGCTGCATTTCATCCGCTCAAGGGTGCTACCCACATGCAAGTGATACCTGGGACATGAATGAGAAGCACACAGCAGCCTGTCTGGGGGATTTTTTTAATCCGTTACTGCTACCAGCCTGCTGCAGATTTGCCAGAATACTGAGAAAAAAACCCTGCTTACCTTCTTGTGCTGTAAGCTGTGCTACAAACTGGTGCCACTAAGAGCTCTCAGCAAAGAAGATCTGCCAAGCAAATTCAGTTAATTTTAAGAACTTGATCTACTTTACCTCAGAAGTTTGTTCTGAAAAAAAAATTCCTATCTGAATACTTGTTAATAATTTCCCAAAGGCCCAGGCCTACTCTTCTGTTGGACCAGGAAGATGGATCCCAATGCCCCCTTCAGGGTTTGCCCTTCCCAAGGGGAGGTAAAGCTCCTGCCCTGGCTGTGAGCACCACTTTGCTGATGCTCTCTGGTCCCCACAGAGCCATGGCAGGTTTGCCAGGCCCACAGCTGTATGATCTGCTTAACAAAAGCTCTCCTCCAGGCCTGGCAGGCAAGGTTACACCACTGTGTCTCTGTCTTGGTCCTGTTACCCTTATTTCCAAATTAGTAAAATTAATATAGCCTTTGGGCCTGGCAGTGTGGCCCACAAAATCCACCCTTCTACATCCTAGCCAAGCTTTCTAATGAAAGATGTTGGACATTTGGGACAGCTAAACTTAGACACATTGAAATCTGAAGAGAAGGAGAGGGCGGTGTCAGAAACCCATACCACCCTGTAACCTGCTGTCATGTCTGGTGGCCTGGAGACACCTCTGCCCATCTCCTCTGATGGTCCTTCAGCCTTGGAGCCCAGGCGCAGTAATTGAGTGGACTGTGCAGGGGCTGCAGCTGCTTTCCAACCTTGCATAGCTAAAGCAGCACCGGTACCCTGGCTGGGTGGTTGTTCCTGAGGTCTTGCAGCTACACTGACAAGCATCACTCAGAGCCAAGGTAAATAGAGACAGGCAAAAAAGAGTTGTACCTTCCTAACCCTTGAAAACCTTTGACAGGCCTGAGGCCGCCTCTAAAGGGATGCTCCTCCTTCGCAAAAAGGCCCAAGAGCCGGTGGGGGGGCAGGAGATGAAAGGCTGTGACACCCGGAGCTGGTGGTGGCAGTAGGGTGAGGATGAGGGGCTCTGGGCTTGCTCACCACTGCCAAAGAGCTGGGGTGCAACAAAGCACTTGGTCAGGGTATCCTGGAGGCAAGGAAAGTGCCCTCACTCCCATTTATTTTAACTTTTCAAGTCTCTGCTGTGGTGCAGATGGAGGAATTTGCTAATCCTAGGCCTCAGGAGTTCACAGGCACCAGCTGCCAGGCCTATCCCTATCAGCAAGGTTTGCATATAGGAAGAACTCATGCAGATAAACTACTGAAACTTCTGGTTAAGGATCCAGGAGACTCCTTCCTCTCCAAAGCACAGGGAGGCTTTTGTTTTGCCTCATCATGAGCTGGCAGGAGACTCTCTATACCCTAAAAGTACACGTAGTACCATGTCCTCACCATACATCCTGCTGTTGTCCTCCAGAAGTTGTCCAGATATTTCACAGTGGTACTGTGACAGCGATGGATGAGAGCAGCTCTGCTTTCCCTGCCACAGCCAGTCAGCTTCGGTGGTCATGCTGGGACATCTCCATCAGGGGAGGGTAAATGTAGGCAAGTCCTGAGCAACACATGTTCCCCAGACAAGAAACATTAAACAATGTCTCTGCATTCCCATTGTTTTCCTAACTCAAGGCATTTCCTTTGTTGTAACTGTGATCCATGAAGTGGCGCTTTAGAGGGTTTTATAATAAAATGTTGAGTATATTATGTTACCAGTGTTTTTCCTTTGTAACGTGGCTTGTCCCTGCTTTACTTTCCAGTAGCTTTCAAGTACATCAAACACCAACACTGTTAATTACTACAAAGTTCCTTAGCTATGCAGTCCACAACTACAGTGGAATATATAGATAGAGATATATATATATCTATCTATATATCTATCTCTTAAATAATTTAGTCTTCTATAGTAACTGCAACACCAACCAAAACCTTTCCAGATCGCTAACCCACTGAAAAATGGCAATAACCTTGACAATTTGCATGAATACATGGGACATTCTTGCCTGTATCTCAGCAGCACAGTCCTCTTGCATAAAACCAGCAGATTAAAAAAAAATTAAAAAAAAATGCATCCACTACCTTCCTCTGGCCACTAGATAGCAACTGTGCAACGCTTAGTGCCTGCTGCAGGCACTGAAGGGAAAACCAGGATGGGGTTTAGCTGGAAAGCAAGGAAGAAGATAGATCGTAGAGAAATGAATGTTCATGTGCGTTGTCTGCAGGTATGAATCACATTAATTCACTTGTACCGAAGAGAGTAAGATTGCAGGCTTTTAGCAAGCTGAAGCAGCCAGCTGGCTTTAAGGAGAGCATCAGCAGACCCAGGCCCAGTGTTCCAGCATCTCTCACAGGCTGGCCCTAAGTGTCAGTGCTCAGAGAGGGACCCCACTGTGCCCCAAGCCCAGCTCCCCTGCTGCAGCCTTTGCAGTACAGGCACCAAACACATTTACTCATCACAGACAGCCATGATTTTGCTTGCTGAGTGAAAGTAAGACTAAAGGGGGTGAAATTCATGGCACTTACTTAAATCCCAGTTGCTTTAAGGAGAAACAGGCTCTACCCTGAAGTCAGCACATGGCCCATGACTGGTCAAGGCTCCTCCAGCAATCCTGCAGAGCAGAGGAATTCACAGCTCCGTTAGTTATGTCCCAGACATCGAACAGCGACCTGGCACAGACACCATTCTCTGCACTCCCCTGATGCCAGATAGGATTAGCGCTGGCTTCCCAGGGACCCCCCCCCCTCCTCAGTGGCTGTGCCAGCCTCAAACATCAACCCAGCCTTAAGGGAACGAGCTCCCATCGGGTAAGTTCTCATTAAGTATTTCTGATTGGGTCAAAGCAAGTCTGTGAGAGTGCATTTAATAAGGGATCATGTCAAAAACCCAAGCCACTTACTTACTCTTTTTAATTAAAATTTTCAGGAAAAAGGACCTAGAAGTCAGCCAGGATCTTCAACTCTAGTTTTTAAAAAGAAAAAAGCTCCAGCAACTGCTCAGCAATGTCCTGCTTGCCTGTGGGATCAGCAGGTCTCTCCAAGACCATCTCATATATCCTGATCTTTGTTACCAGCTTGGCTTTTCCTCCCAATGCCCCACCACATTCTTACCTTGAAAAGCGCTTTGTCCCATACAAAAGAAGAGCTGATGGGTCCTGCCACTGCCAGCACACATCTGAGCAATCATCCAAGGCTTCAACATTCAGCCACATGTAGAAGAGAGATCACAGCAGCAGCACATGGGTTCTCAACACATGGGAATGCCTGTGTCATTTCGGGCACTGAGACCTCAGCCAGGTGCACCCAGAGGCGAAGGGCTGGGTTTAGAACCAGCTTTCCTGAAACTCCTCCATGAGTTTCCAATCTTTCATACCATCTCTATTTAAGAAACTGATGCACAGGGCTACATATATCCCATCCAGCATTAAAATGTCTCCAGCATGAGACTTTGCAGTCTGCTATTCCTGAATCACACAGAGAGGTTTGTCTACGGGTGCTTAAAACCAGGAGGATGATACAAATGCAGGGTTCTCCCCAGCTCAGGACCCAGGCAAGAATCCTTTGTTCCAGTAAACCCATGCACTCTAAAGAAGTACTTACTAACTATGTATTAAAGAAAACTCACCAAGATCACACCAAAACACATTTGTCACAAGGCAAAATGCTCAGCAGCACTGCACAAACTATCCTGCAGGTAACAGCGATAGAAGAAAAAGGCTTTAAGCACCTGTATGAGGCCAGGAAAGCACATCCCAGCTCCAGAGCTGCCTGCCAAATATGGCAAATGTAAGGCAAATATGCTTCCTTTTGAGGGAGAAGCCTGATCCTGCACAGAACAAATGCTTGTGAGCAGCGACTGGCAGAGAAACCACCAGGTTTCTGCAAACCCAACCAGGCAGTGAGGGTGAGAAGTGGTGGCCCCTACGACCCTTCACACAATGGAGGATGTGCAGGGAAAGCTGTCAGAGCAGCCTGGCTGGAACCCAGCCGGCTCCACGGGTGGTCCTGCACTACAAAACACAAACCACATCTTTGGTGTCAGCTGGGTCTGGTCCAGCCCATTCTCCTTACAAGAGATGACTGAGTTTTACAGCAAAGGCAATGCAAAGCAATTACGTCCAGCCTAAGTAACATTAACAGATTAGTTTCTCTTTATATCACAAACATCAGCCTTTCAACTAAGCTTCTGTTTTGCTGTGCCTCAGGACACAGACAATCTACTACAGCAGCAGTGAAAAGAGGAAATTCTCCTTTCTCCTAGCCTAGTTTCTCTCACAAGGCACAACAGCACTGCTCCAGTCCCAGTGTCAGCTTTCATCCCTGAGAATGCTTTTAGACCATTCTCCTTTTGACAACAAACCTGTGGAGTAATTTGTGTCTCTCTTTGTACATCTAATGTTACTATTCAAACACAGGGCCAAGACATGAGCGAAGGGATTCTTCTTTTTCTGGGAACAACAGATGCTATTTTCACAAGTTCTGGCAGTCACAGTTAATGTCCCTGCCTCGGCCCTGTCCAGAGCCACTCCTGCTCTCCCAGAGCAATGGATACCATGGGAAAGGCAGCAGAGAACAACCCAACAGTGTGAACCATGAGCCCTGAGGGACCAATTACGTAAATTTTACAGCTTCATGGGCAAATTGATCTAGTGGTCCAGTGAGGCTGATGCTCTGAAGGATGCAGGCACATGGCCAAACTGTCTCAGGAGATACGTGAACCATCACAGCTCACAGA